AGAATGCACTTCAATCGCTTTGAAAAAAAAAAATCTTATTCTTATTTTTATGAGCTATTATTATTTAATGATATGAATGCACAATGAGCAATGAAAATATGTCACTATATTAGTGTTTGTATTTCCTAACGTGAAATTTTCCCAATGGCAGTACATCCACAGTGGAGCTTAATACAACCACACAAAAGACAACAACTGAGACAACTGGTTCACAAACAACAATGGCTCAAGACAAAATTACTGAGATTTCAGATGCTAAAATACTGACAACAGATATCCCCATTACTAGTGTATCCTTAGTGGAGTCCACAACAATCATACAACAGACAACTGTGGAGACAACTGCTGTAGCAACACCAAATAATAGTGAAGCACTCATAACAACAAATGAAGTACCAACAACTACAAACACAGCAACAGATTTAACTACAACTATTACATCTACCACCGAAACAAATATAAGCACAGCGCCACCAACAGCTGAAATAATAACAGCTCAAGCCATGACTACTGACGTACCCACAGCTATAACGTTAACAAAAGATATTCCGACAACTAGTATATTCACAGCTGAGTATAGTACAATTCTAGCAATGACAACACTGAACACTGAAGTACCCATGACCAATGAAACTCCAACAAGTACAACCATAACAACAGATGTAAGTACAACTACGGCCTCCAACACTGAACCTACTAAAAGCACAGCACCAGACACTGCCGAAATAACAACGGCTCCAGCCATGACTACTGACGTACCCTCAACTACAACATTAACAGATATTCCAACTACTTGTACATCCACAGTGGCATGTACTACAATCACAACAGAGACAACTGCTGAGAGAACTACTCTAGCAATGACAACGATTAACACTGAAGTACCCACAACCAATGAAACTCCAACAAGTACAATCATAACAACAGATGAAACGACAACTATGGCATCCAAAACTGTACCTACTACAAGCAAAGCACCAGCAACTGCTGAAATAACAACGGCTCTAGCCATGACTACTGAGGTACCCTCAACTACAACATTAACAGATATTCCAACTACTAGTGCATCCACAGTGGCATCTACTACAATCACAACACAGACAATTGCTGAGACAACTGCTCTAGCAATGACAACACTGAACACTGAAGTACCCACAACCAACGAAACTACAAGTACAATCATAACAACAGATGAAACTACAACTACGGCCTCCAAAAATGTAGCTAATACAAGCACAGCACCAGCAACTGCCGAAATAACAACGCCTCCAGCCATTACTACTGACGTACCCTCAACTACAACTTTAACAGATATTTCAACTACTAGTGCATCCACAGTGGCATCTACTACAATCACAGCAGAGACAACTGCTGAGACAACTGCCCTAGCAATGACAATGATTAATACTGAAGTACCCACAACCAATGAAATTCCAACAATTACAATAATAACAACAGATGTAAGTACAACTACGGCCTCCAACAATGAACCTACTAAAAGCACAGCACCAGCAACTGCTGAAATAACAACGGCTCCAGCCGTGACCACTGAGGTACCCTCAACTACAACATTAACAGATATTCCAACTACTAGTGCATCCACAATGGCATCGACTAGAATCGCAACACTGACTATTGCTGAGACAACTACTCTAGCAATGACAACGATTAACACTGAAGTACCCACAACCAACGAAACTAGAAGTACAATCATAACAATAGATGAAACTACAACTACGGCCTCCAAAAATGTAGCTAATACAAGCACAGCACCAGACACTGCCGAAATAACAATGGCTCCAGCCATTACTACCGACGTACCCTCAACTACCTCATTAACAGATATTCCAACTACTAGTGCATCCACAATGGCATCGACTACAATCGCAACACAGACTATTGCTGAGACAACTGCTCTAGCAATGACAACACTGAACACTGAAGTACCCATAACCAATGAAACTCCAATAAGTACAATCATAACAACAGATGTAAGTACAACTACGGCCTCCAACACTGAACCTACTAAAAGCACAGCACCAGACACTGCCGAAATAACAACAGCTCCAACCATGACTACTGAGGTACCCTCAACTACAACATTAACAGATATTCCAACTACTAGTGCATCCACAATGGCATCAACTACAATCACAACAGAGACAACTGCTGAAAGAACTACTCTAGCAATGACAATGATTAACACTGAAGTACCCACAACCAATGAAACTCCAACAAGTACAATCATAACAACAGATGTAACTACAACTACGGCCTCCAACACTGAACCTACTAAAAGCATAGCACCAGACACTGCCGAAATAACAACGGCTCCAGCCATGACTACTGAGCTACCCTCAACTACAACATTAACAGATATTCCAACTACTAGTGCATCCACAGTGGCATCTACTACAATCACAACAGAGACAACTGCTGAGACAACTGCCCTAGCAATGACAACGATTAACACTGAAGTACCCACAACCAATGAAACTCCAACAAGTACAATCATAACAACAGATGTAAGTACAACTACGGCCTACAACACTGAACCTACTAAAAGCACAGCACCAGACACTGCCGAAATAACAACGGCTCCAGCCATGACTACTGAGGTACCCTCAACTACAATATTAACAGATATTCCAACTACTAGTGCATCCACAGTGGCATCTACTACAATCACAACACAGACAATTGCTGAAACAACTACTCTAGCAATGACAACAATTAACACTGAAGTACCCACAACCAACGAAACTACAAATACAATCATGACAACAGATGAAACTACAACTACGGCCTCCAACAATGAACCTACTAAAAGCACAGCACCAGACACTGCCGAAATAACAACGGCTCCAGCCATGACTACTGACGTACCCTCAACTACAACATTAACAGATATTCCAACTACTAGTGCATCCACAATGGCATCGACTACAATCGCAACACAGACTATTGCTGAGACAACTGCTCTAGCAATGACAACACTGAACACTGAAGTACCCATAACCAATGAAACTCCAACAAGTACAATCATAACAACAGATGTAAGTACAACTACGGCCTCCACAACTATACCTACTACAAGCACAGCACCAGACACTGCCGAAATAACAACGGCTCCAGCCATGACTACTGAGGTACCCTCAACTACAACATTAACAGATATTCCAACTACTAGTGCATCCACAGTGGCATCTACTGCAATCACAACACAGACAATTGCTGAGACAACTACTCTAGCAATGACAACAATTAACACTGAAGTACCCACAACCAACGAAACTACAAGTACAATCATAACAACAGATGAAACTACAACTACGGCCTCCAACAATGAACCTACTAAAAGCACAGCACCAGACACTGCCGAAATAACAACGGCTCCAGCCATTACTACTGACGTACCCTCAACTACAACATTAACAGATATTCCAACTACTAGTGCATCCACAATGGCATCTACTACAATCACAACAGAGACAACTGCTGAGAGAACTACTCTAGCAATGACAACGATTAACACTGAAGTACCCACAACCAATGAAACTCCAACAAGTACAATCATAACAACAGATGTAACTACAACTACGGCCTCCAACACTGAACCTACTAAAAGCACAGCACCAGACACTGCCGAAATAACAACAGCTCCAGCCATGACTACTGACGTACCCTCAACTACAACATTAACAGATATTCCAACTACTAGTGCATCCACAGTGGCATCTACTACAATCACAACACAGACAATTGCTGAGACAACTACTCTAGCAATGACAACGATTAACACTGAAGTACCCACAACCAACGAAACTACAAGTACAATCGTAACAACAGATGAAACTACAACTACGGCCTCCAAAAATGTAGCTAATACAAGCACAGCACCAGCAACTGCCGAAATAACAACGGCTCCAGCCATTACTACTGACGTACCCTCAACTACAACATTAACAGATATTTCAACTACTAGTGCATCCACAGTGGCATCTACTACAATTGCAACAGAGACAACTGCTGAGACAACTGCCCTAGCAATGACAACGATTAACACTGAAGTACCCACAACCAATGAAACTCCAACAAGTGCAATCATAACAACAGATGTAAGTACAACTATGGCCTCCAAAACAGAACTTAATAAAAGCACAGCACCAGACACTGCCGAAATAACAACGGCTCCAGCCATGACTACTGAGCTACCCTCAACTACAACATTAACAGATATTCCAACTACTTGTACATCCACAGTGGCATGTACTACAATCACAACAGAGACAACTGCTGAGAGAACTACTCTAGCAATGACAACGATTAACACTGAAGTACCCACAACCAATGAAACTCCAACAAGTACAATCATAACAACAGATGAAACGACAACTACGGCATCCAAAACTGTACCTACTACAAGCAAAGCACCAGCAACTGCTGAAATAACAACGGCTCTAGCCATGACAACTGAGGTACCCTCAACTACAACATTAACAGATATTCCAACTACTAGTGCATCCACAGTGGCATCTACTACAATCACAACACAGACAATTGCTGAGACAACTGCTCTAGCAATGACAACGATTAACACTGAAGTACCCACAACCAATGAAACTCCAACAAGTACAATCATAACAACAGATGTAAGTACAACTACGGCCTCCAACACTGAACCTAATAAAAGCACAGCACCAGACACTGCCGAAATAACAACGGCTCCAGCCATGACTACTGAGGTACCCTCAACTACAACATTAACAGATATTCCAACTACTAGTGCATCCACAATGGCATCGACTACAATCGCAACACAGACTATTGCTGAGACAACTGCTCTAGCAATGACAACACTGAACACTGAAGTACCCATAACCAATGAAACTCCAACAAGTACAATCATAACAACAGATGTAAGTACAACTACGGCCTCCACAACTATACCTACTACAAGCACAGCACCAGACACTGCCGAAATAACAACGGCTCCAGCCATGACTACTGAGGTACCCTCAACTACAACATTAACAGATATTCCAACTACTAGTGCATCCACAGTGGCATCTACTACAATCACAACAGAGACAACTGCTGAGACAACTGCCCTAGCAATGACAACGATTAACACTGAAGTACCCACAACCAATGAAACTCCAACAAGTACAATCACAACAACAGATGTAAGTACAACTACGGCCTCCAACACTGAACCTACTAAAAGCACAGCACCAGACACTGCCGAAATAACAACGGCTCCAGCCATGACTACTGAGGTACCCTCAACTACAACATTAACAGATATTCCAACTACTAGTGCATCCACAGTGGCATCTACTGCAATCACAACACAGACAATTGCTGAGACAACTACTCTAGCAATGACAACAATTAACACTGAAGTACCCACAACCAACGAAACTACAAGTACAATCATAACAACAGATGAAACTACAACTACGGCCTCCAACAATGAACCTACTAAAAGCACAGCACCAGACACTGCCGAAATAACAACGGCTCCAGCCATTACTACTGACGTACCCTCAACTACAACATTAACAGATATTCCAACTACTAGTGCATCCACAATGGCATCTACTACAATCACAACAGAGACAACTGCTGAGAGAACTACTCTAGCAATGACACCAATTATCACTGAAGTACCCACAACCAACGAAACTACAAGTACAATCATAACAACAGATGAAACGACAACTACGGCATCCAAAACTGTACCTACTACAAGCAAAGCACCAGCAACTGCTGAAATAACAACGGCTCTAGCCATGACTACTGACGTACCCTCAACTACAACATTAACAGATATTCCAACTACTAGTGCATCCACAGTGGCATCTACTACAATCACAACACAGACAATTGCTGAGACAACTGCTCTAGCAATGACAACACTGAACACTGAAGTACCCACAACCAACGAAACTACAAGTACAATCATAACAACAGCTGAAACTACAAATACAGCCTCCAAAAATGTAGCTAATACAAGCACAGCACCAGCAACTGCCGAAATAACAACGTCTCCAGCCATTACTACTGACGTACCCTCAACTACAACTTTAACAGATATTTCAACTACTAGTGCATCCACAGTGGCATCTACTACAATCACAGCAGAGACAACTGCTGAGACAACTGCCCTAGCAATGACAACGATTAACTCTGAAGTACCCACAACCAATGAAATTCCAACAAGTACAATAATAACAACAGATGTAAGTACAACTACGGCCTCCAACACTGAACCTAATAAAAGCACAGCACCAGACACTGCCGAAATAACAACGGCTCCAGCCATGACTACTGACGTACCCTCAACTACAACATTAACAGATATTCCAACTACTAGTGCATCCACAATGGCATCGACTACAATCGCAACACAGACTATTGCTGAGACAACTGCTCTAGCAATGACAACACTGAACACTGAAGTACCCATAACCAATGAAACTCCAACAAGTACAATCATAACAACAGATGTAAGTACAACTACGGCCTCCACAACTATACCTACTACAAGCACAGCACCAGACACTGCCGAAATAACAACGGCTCCAGCCATGACTACTGAGGTACCCTCAACTACAACATTAACAGATATTCCAACTACTAGTGCATCCACAGTGGCATCTACTACAATCACAACAGAGACAACTGCTGAGACAACTGCCCTAGCAATGACAACGATTAACACTGAAGTACCCACAACCAATAAAACTCCAACAAGTACAATCACAACAACAGATGTAAGTACAACTACGGCCTCCAACACTGAACCTACTAAAAGCACAGCACCAGACACTGCCGAAATAACAACAGCTCCAGCCATGACTACTGAGGTACCCTCAACTACAACATTAACAGATATTCCAACTACTAGTGCATCCACAGTGGCATCTACTACAATCGCAACAGAGACAACTGCTGAGACAACTGCCCTAGCAATGACAACGATTAACTCTGAAGTACCCACAACCAATGAAATTCCAACAAGTACAATCATAACAACAGATGTAAGTACAACTACGGCCTCCAACACTGAACCTACTAAAAGCACAGCACCAGACACTGCCGAAATAACAACGGCTCCAGCCATGACTACTGAGGTACCCTCAACTACAACATTAACAGATATTCCAACTACTAGTGCATCCACAGTGGCATCTACTGCAATCACAACACAGACAATTGCTGAGACAACTACTCTAGCAATGACAACAATTAACACTGAAGTACCCACAACCAACGAAACTACAAGTACAATCATAACAACAGATGAAACTACAACTACGGCCTCCAACAATGAACCTACTAAAAGCACAGCACCAGACACTGCCGAAATAACAACGGCTCCAGCCATTACTACTGACGTACCCTCAACTACAACATTAACAGATATTCCAACTACTAGTGCATCCACAATGGCATCTACTACAATCACAACAGAGACAACTGCTGAGAGAACTACTCTAGCAATGACAACGATTAACACTGAAGTACCCACAACCAATGAAACTCCAACAAGTACAATCATAACAACAGATGTAAGTACAACTACGGCCTCCAACAATGAACCTACTAAAAGCACAGCACCAGACACTGCCGAAATAACAACGGCTCCAGCCATTACTACTGACGTACCCTCAACTACAACATTAACAGATATTCCAACTACTAGTGCATCCACAATGGCATCTACTACAATCACAACAGAGACAACTGCTGAGAGAACTACTCTAGCAATGACAACGATTAACACTGAAGTACCCACAACCAATGAAACTCCAACAAGTACAATCATAACAACAGATGTAAGTACAACTACGGCCTCCACAACTATACCTACTACAAGCACAGCACCAGACACTGCCGAAATAACAACGGCTCCAGCCATGACTACTGAGGTACCCTCAACTACAACATTAACAGATATTCCAACTACTAGTGCATCCACAGTGGCATCTACTACAATCACAACAGAGACAACTGCTGAGACAACTGCCCTAGCAATGACAACGATTAACACTGAAGTACCCACAACCAATAAAACTCCAACAAGTACAATCACAACAACAGATGTAAGTACAACTACGGCCTCCAACACTGAACCTACTAAAAGCACAGCACCAGACACTGCCGAAATAACAACAGCTCCAGCCATGACTACTGAGGTACCCTCAACTACAACATTAACAGATATTCCAACTACTAGTGCATCCACAGTGGCATCTACTACAATCGCAACAGAGACAACTGCTGAGACAACTGCCCTAGCAATGACAACGATTAACTCTGAAGTACCCACAACCAATGAAATTCCAACAAGTACAATCATAACAACAGATGTAAGTACAACTACGGCCTCCAACACTGAACCTACTAAAAGCACAGCACCAGACACTGCCGAAATAACAACGGCTCCAGCCATGACTACTGAGGTACCCTCAACTACAACATTAACAGATATTCCAACTACTAGTGCATCCACAGTGGCATCTACTGCAATCACAACACAGACAATTGCTGAGACAACTACTCTAGCAATGACAACAATTAACACTGAAGTACCCACAACCAATGAAACTACAAGTACAATCATAACAACAGATGAAACTACAACTACGGCCTCCAACAATGAACCTACTAAAAGCACAGCACCAGACACTGCCGAAATAACAACGGCTCCAGCCATTACTACTGACGTACCCTCAACTACAACATTAACAGATATTCCAACTACTAGTGCATCCACAATGGCATCTACTACAATCACAACAGAGAGAACTGCTGAGAGAACTACTCTAGCAATGACAACGATTAACACTGAAGTACCCACAACCAATGAAACTCCAACAAGTACAATCATAACAACAGATGTAAGTACAACTACGGCCTCCAACACTGAACCTACTAAAAGCACAGCACCAGACACTGCCGAAATAACAACGGCTCCAGCCATGACTACTGAGGTACCCTCAACTACAACATTAACAGATATTCCAACTACTAGTGCATCCACAGTGGCATCGACTACAATCACAACAGAGACAACTGCTGAGACAACTGCCCTAGCAATGACAACGATTAACACTGAAGTACCCACAACCAACGAAACTACAAGTACAATCATAACAACAGATGAAACGACAACTACGGCATCCAAAACTGTACCTACTACAAGCAAAGCACCAGCAACTGCTGAAATAACAACGGCTCTAGCCATGACTACTGACGTACCCTCAACTACAACATTAACAGATATTCCAACTACTAGTGCATCCACAGTGGCATCTACTACAATCACAACACAGACAATTGCTGAGACAACTGCTCTAGCAATGACAACACTGAACACTGAAGTACCCACAACCAACGAAACTACAAGTACAATCATAACAACAGATGAAACTACAACTACAGCCTCCAAAAATGTACCTACTACAAGCACAGCACCAGCAACTGCCGAAATAACAACGGCTCCAGCCATTACTACTGACGTACCTTCAACTACAACTTTAACAGATATTTCAACTACTAGTGCATCCACAGTGGCATCTACTACAATCACAACAGAGACAACTGCTGAGACAACTGCCCTAGCAATGACAACGATTAACACTGAAGTACCCACAACCAATAAAACTCCAACAAGTACAATCACAACAACAGATGTAAGTACAACTACGGCCTCCAACACTGAACCTACTAAAAGCACAGCACCAGACACTGCCGAAATAACAACAGCTCCAGCCATGACTACTGAGGTACCCTCAACTACAACATTAACAGATATTCCAACTACTAGTGCATCCACAGTGGCATCTACTACAATCGCAACAGAGACAACTGCTGAGACAACTGCCCTAGCAATGACAACGATTAACTCTGAAGTACCCACAACCAATGAAATTCCAACAAGTACAATCATAACAACAGATGTAAGTACAACTACGGCCTCCAACACTGAACCTACTAAAAGCACAGCACCAGACACTGCCGAAATAACAACGGCTCCAGCCATGACTACTGAGGTACCCTCAACTACAACATTAACAGATATTCCAACTACTAGTGCATCCACAGTGGCATCTACTGCAATCACAACACAGACAATTGCTGAGACAACTACTCTAGCAATGACAACAATTAACACTGAAGTACCCACAACCAACGAAACTACAAGTACAATCATAATAACAGATGAAACTACAACTACGGCCTCCAACAATGAACCTACTAAAAGCACAGCACCAGACACTGCCGAAATAACAACGGCTCCAGCCATTACTACTGACGTACCCTCAACTACAACATTAACAGATATTCCAACTACTAGTGCATCCACAATGGCATCTACTACAATCACAACAGAGACAACTGCTGAGAGAACTACTCTAGCAATGACAACGATTAACACTGAAGTACCCACAACCAATGAAACTCCAACAAGTACAATCATAACAACAGATGTAAGTACAACTACGGCCTCCAACACTGAACCTACTAAAACCACAGCACCAGACACTGCCGAAATAACAACGGCTCCAGCCATGACTACTGAGGTACCCTCAACTACAACATTAACAGATATTCCAACTACTAGTGCATCCACAGTGGCATCTACTACAATCACAACAGAGACAACTGCTGAGACAACTGCCCTAGCAATGACAACGATTAACACTGAAGTACCCACAACCAATGAAACTCCAACAAGTACAATCATAACAACAGATGTAAGTACAACTACGGCCTCCAACACTGAACCTACTAAAAGCACAGCACCAGACACTGCCGAAATAACAACAGCTCCAGCCATGACTACTGAGGTACCCTCAACTACAACATTAACAGATATTGCAACTACTAGTGCATCCACAGTGGCATCTACTACAATCACAACACAGACAATTGCTGAGACAACTACTCTAGCAACGACAACAATTAACACTGAAGTACCCACAACCAACGAAACTACAAGTACAATCATAACAACAGATGAAACTACAACTACGGCCTCCACCAATGAACCTACTAAAAGCACAGCACCAGACACTGCCGAAATAACAACGGCTCCAGCCATTACTACTGAGGTACCCTCAACTACAACATTAACAGATATTCCAACTACTAGTGCATCCACAATGGCATCAACTACAATCACAACAGAGACAACTGCTGAGACAACTGCTCTAGCAATGACAACGATTAACTCTGAAGTACCCACAACCAATGAAACTCCAACAAGTGCAATCATAACAACAGATGTAACTACAACTACGGCCTCCAACACAGAACCTAATAAAAGCACAGCACCAGCAACTGCTGAAATAACAACGGCTCCAGCTGTGACCACTGAGGTACCCTCAACTACAACATTAACAGATATTCCAACTACTAGTGCATCCACAATGGCATCGACTACAATCGCGACACAGACTATTGCTGAGAAAACTGCTCTAGCAATGACAACACTGAACACTGAAGTACCCATAACCAATGAAACTCCAACAAGTACAATCATAACAACAGATGTAAGTACAACTACGGCCTCCAACACTGAACCTACTAAAAGCACAGCACCAGACACTGCCGAAATAACAACGGCTCCAGCCATGACTACCGACGTACCCTCAACTACCTCATTAACAGATATTCCAACTACTTGTACATCCACAGTGGCATGTACTACAATGACAACAAAGACAACTGCTGAGACAACTGCCCTAGCAATGACAACGATTAACACTGAAGTACCCACAACCAATGAAATTCCAACAAGTACAATCGTAACAACAGATGAAACTACAACTACGGCCTCCAACACTGAACTTAATAAAAGCACAGCACCAGCAACTGCCGAAATAACAACGGCTCCAGCCATGACTACTGAGGTACCCTCAACTACAACATTAACAGATATTCCAACTACTAGTGCATTCACAGTGGCATCTACTACAATCACAACAGAGACAATTGCTGAGACAACTACTCTAGCAATGACAACGATTAAAACTGAAGTACCCACAACCAATGAAACTCCAAAAAGTACAATCATAACAACAGATGAAACGACAACTACGGCATCCAAAAATGTACCTACTACAAGCACAGCACCAGACCCTGCCGAAATAACAACGTCTCCAGCCATTACTACTGACGTACCCTCAACTACAACATTAACAGATATTCCAACTACTAGTGCATCCACAGTGGCATCTACTACAATCACAACACAGACAATTGCTGAGACAACTACTCTAGCAACGACAACAATTAACACTGAAGTACCCACAACCAACGAAACTACAAGTACAATCATAACAACAGATGAAACGACAACTACGGCATCCAAAACTGTACCTACTACAAGCAAAGCACCAGCAACTGCTGAAATAACAACGGCTCTAGCCATGACTACTGACGTACCCTCAACTACAACATTAACAGATATTCCAACTACTAGTGCATCCACAGTGGCATCTACTACAATCACAACACAGACAATTGCTGAGACAACTGCTCTAGCAATGACAACACTGAACACTGAAGTACCCACAACCAACGAAACTACAAGTACAATCATAACAACAGATGAAACTACAACTACAGCCTCCAAAAATGTACCTACTACAAGCACAGCACCAGCAACTGCCGAAATAACAACGTCTCCAGCCATTACTACTGACGTACCCTCAACTACAACATTAACAGATATTCCAACTACTAGTGCATCAACAGTGGGATCTACTACGATCACAACAGAGACAACTGCTGAGACAACTGCCCTAGCAATGACAACGATTAACTCTGAAGTACCCACAACCAATGAAATTCCAACAAGTACAATCATAACAACAGATGTAAGTACAACTACGGCCTCCAACACTGAACCTACTAAAAGCACAGCACCAGACACTGCCGAAATAACAACGGCTCCAGCCATGACTACTGAGGTACCCTCAACTACAACATTAACAGATATTCCAACTACTAGTGCATCCACAGTGGCATCTACTACAAACACAGCAACAGAGACAACTGCTGAGACAACTGCCCTAGCAATGACAACGATTAACTCTGAAGTACCCACAACCAATGAAATTCCACCAAGTACAATCATAACAACAGATGTAAGTACAACTACGGCCTCCAACACTGAACCTACTAAAAGCACAGCACCAGACACTGCCGAAATAACAACGGCTCCAGCCATGACTACTGAGGTACCCTCAACTACAACATTAACAGATATTCCAACTACTAGTGCATCCACAGTGGCATCTACTACAATCACAACACAGACAATTGCTGAGACAACTACTCTAGCAATGACAACAATTAACACTGAAGTACCCACAACCAACGAAACTACAAGTACAATCATAACAACAGATGAAACTACAACTACGGCCTCCAACACTGAACCTACTAAAAGCACAGCACCAGACACTGCCGAAATAACAACGGCTCCAGCCATTACTACTGACGTACCCTCAACTACCTCATTAACAGATATTCCAACTACTAGTGCATCCACAGTGGCATCTACTACAATCACAACAGAGACAATTGCTGAGACAACTACTCTAGCAATGACAACGATTAACACTGAAGTACCCACAACCAATGAAACTCCAACAAGTACAATCATAACAACAGATGAAACGACAACTACGGCATCCAAAACTGTACCTACTACAAGCACAGCACCAGCAACTGCCGAAATAACAACGGCTCCAGCCATGACTACTGAGCTACCCTCAACTACAACATTAACAGATATTCCAACTACTAGTGCATCCACAGTGGCATCTACTACAATCACAACACAGACAATTGCTGAGACAACTACTCTAGCAATGACACCAATTAACACTGAAGTACCCACAACCAACGAAACTACAAGTACAATCATAACAACAGATGAAACTACAACTACGGCCTCCAACAATGAACCTACTAAAAGCACAGCACCAGACACTGCCGAAATAACAACGGCTCCAGCCATTACTACTGACGTACCCTCAACTACAACATTAACAGATATTCCAACTACTAGTGCATCCACAATGGCATCAACTACAATCACAACAGAGACAATTGCTGAGACAACTGCTCTAGCAATGACAACGATTAACTCTGAAGTACCCACAACCAATGAAACTCCAACAAGTGCAATCATAACAACAGATGTAACTACAACTACGGCCTCCAACACAGAACCTAATAAAAGCACAGCACCAGCAACTGCTGAAATTACAACGGCTCCAGCTGTGACCACTGAGGTACCCTCAACTACAACATTAACAGATATTCCAACTACTAGTGCATCCACAATGGCATCGACTACAATCGCGACACAGACTATTGCTGAGAAAACTGCTCTAGCAATGACAACACTGAACACTGAAGTACCCATAACCAATGAAACTCCAACAAGTACAATCATAACAACAGATGTAAGTACAACTACGGCCTCCAACACTGAACCTACTAAAAGCACAGCACCAGACACTGCCGAAATAACAACGGCTCCAGCCATGACTACCGACGTACCCTCAACTACCTCATTAACAGATATTCCAACTACTTGTACATCCACAGTGGCATGTACTACAATGAAAACAAAGACAACTGCTGAGACAACTGCCCTAGCAATGACAATGATTAACACTGAAGTACCCACAACCAATGAAATTCCAACAAGTACAATCGTAACAACAGATGGAACTACAACTACGGCCTCCAACACTGAACTTAATAAAAGCACAGCACCAGCAACTGCCGAAATAACAACGGCTCAAGCCATGACTACTGAGAAATCCTCAACTACAACATTAACAGATATTCCAACAACTAGTGCATCCACAGTGGCATCTACTACAATCACAACAGAGACAACTGCTGAGACAACAACTCTAGCAATGACAACGATTAACACTGAAGTACCCACAACCAATAAAACTCCAACAAGTACAATCATATTAAAAGATGAAACGACAACTACGGCATCCAAAAATGTACCTACTACAAGCACAGCACCAGCAACTGCCGAAATAACAACGGCTCCAGCCATGACTACTGAGCTACCCTCAACTTCAACATTAACAGATATTCCAACTACTAGTGCATCCACAGTGGCATCTACTACAATCACAACACAGACAATTGCTGAGACAACTACTCTAGCAATGACACCAATTAACACTGAAGTACCCACAACCAACGAAACTACAAGTACAATCATAACAACAGATGAAACTACAACTATGGCCTCCAACAATGAACCTACTAAAAGCACAGCACCAGACACTGCCGAAATAACAACGGCTCCAGCCATTACTACTGACGTACCCTCAACTACAACATTAACAGATATTCCAACTACTAGTGCATCCACAATGGCATCAACTACAATAACAACAGAGACAACTGCTGAGACAACTGCTCTAGCAATGACAACGATTAACTCTGAAGTACCCACAACCAATGAAACTCCAACAAGTGCAATCATAACAACAGATGTAACTACAACTACGGCCTCCAACACTGAACCTACTAAAAGCACAGCACCAGCAACTGCTGAAATAACAACGGCTCCAGCTGTGACCACAGAGGTACCCTCAACTACAACATTAACAGATATTCCAACTACTAGTGCATCCACAATGGCATCGACTACAATTGCGACACAGACTATTGCTGAGAAAACTGCTCTAGCAATGACAACACTGAACACTGAAGTACCCATAACCAATGAAACTCCAACAAGTACAATCATAACAACAGATGTAAGTACAACTACGGCCTCCAACACTGAACCTACTAAAAGCACAGCACCAGACACTGCCGAAATAACAACGGCTCCAGCCATGACTACCGACGTACCCTCAACTACCTCATTAACAGATATTCCAACTACTTGTACATCCACAGTGGCATGTACTACAATGACAACAAAGACAACTGCTGAGACAACTGCCCTAGCAATGACAATGATTAACACTGAAGTACCCACAACCAATGAAATTCCAACAAGTACAATCATAACAACAGATGAAACTACAACTACGGCCTCCAACACTGAACTTAATAAAAGCACAGCACCAGCAACTGCCGAAATAACAACGGCTCCAGCCATGACTACTGAGAAATCCTCAACTACAACATTAACAGATATTCCAACTACTAGTGCATTCACAGTGGCATCTACTACAATCACAACAGAGACAACTGCTGAGACAACTACTCTAGCAATGACAACACTGAACACTGAAGTACCCACAACCAACGAAACTACAAGTACAATCATAACAATAGATGGAACTACAAGTACGGCCTCCAACACTGAACTTAATAAAAGCACAGCACCAGCAACTGCCGAAATAACAACGGCTCAAGCCATGACTACTGAGAAATCCTCAACTACAACATTAACAGATATTCCAACTACTAGTGCATTCACAGTGGCATCTACTACAATCACAACAGAGACAACTGCTGAGACAACTACTCTAGCAATGACAACACTGAACACTGAAGTACCCACAACCAACGAAACTACAAGTACAATCATAACAATAGATGGAACTACAAGTACGGCCTCCAACACGGAACCTACTAAAAGCTCAGCACCAGACACTGCCGAAATAACAACGTCTCCAGCCATTACTACTGACGTACCCTCAACTACAACATTAACAGATATTCCAACAACTAGTGCATCCACAGTATCATCTACTACAATCACAACAGAGACAACTGCTGAGACAACAACTCTAGCAATGACAACGATTAACACTGAAGTACCCACAACCAATAAAACTCCAACAAGTACAATCATATTAAAAGATGAAACGACAACTACGGCATCCAAAAATGTACCTACTACAAGCACAGCACCAGCAACTGCCGAAATAACAAAGGCTCCAGCCATGACTACTGAGAAATCCTCAACTACAACATTAACAGATATTCCAACTACTAGTGCATTCACAGTGGCATCTACTACAATCACAACAGAGACAACTGCTGAGACAACAACTCTAGCAATGACAACGATTAACACTGAAGTACCCACAACCAATAAAACTCCAACAAGTACAATCATATTAAAAGATGAAACGACAACTACGGCATCCAAAAATGTACCTACTACAAGCACAGCACCAGACACTGCCGAAATAACAACGGCTCCAGCCATGACTACCGACGTACCCTCAACTACCTCATTAACAGATATTCCAACTACTTGTACATCCACAGTGGCATGTACTACAATGACAACAAAGACAACTGCTGAGACAACTGCCCTAGCAATGACAATGATTAACACTGAAGTACCCACAACCAATGAAATTCCAACAAGTACAATCATAACAACAGATGAAACTACAACTACGGCCTCCAACACTGAACTTAATAAAAGCACAGCACCAGCAACTGCCGAAATAACAACGGCTCAAGCCATGACTACTGAGAAATCCTCAACTACAACATTAACAGATATTCCAACTACTAGTGCATTCACAGTGGCATCTACTACAATCACAACAGAGACAACTGCTGAGACAACTACTCTAGCAATGACAACACTGAACACTGAAGTACCCACAACCAACGAAACTACAAGTACAATCATAACAATAGATGGAACTACAAGTACGGCCTCCAACACTGAACTTAATAAAAGCACAGCACCAGCAACTGCCGAAATAACAACGGCTCAAGCCATGACTACTGAGAAATCCTCAACTACAACATTAACAGATATTCCAACTACTAGTGCATTCACAGTGGCATCTACTACAATCACAACAGAGACAACTGCTGAGACAACTACTCTAGCAATGACAACACTGAACACTGAAGTACCCACAACCAACGAAACTACAAGTACAATCATAACAATAGATGGAACTACAAGTACGGCCTCCAACACGGAACCTACTAAAAGCTCAGCACCAGACACTGCCGAAATAACAACGTCTCCAGCCATTACTACTGACGTACCCTCAACTACAACATTAACAGATATTCCAACAACTAGTGCATCCACAGTATCATCTACTACAATCACAACAGAGACAACTGCTGAGACAACAACTCTAGCAATGACAACGATTAACACTGAAGTACCCACAACCAATAAAACTCCAACAAGTACAATCATATTAAAAGATGAAACGACAACTACGGCATCCAAAAATGTACCTACTACAAGCACAGCACCAGCAACTGCCGAAATAACAAAGGCTCCAGCCATGACTACTGAGAAATCCTCAACTACAACATTAACAGATATTCCAACTACTAGTGCATTCACAGTGGCATCTACTACAATCACAACAGAGACAATTGCTGAGACAACTACTCTAGCAATGACAACGATTAAAACTGAAGTACCCACAACCAATGAAACTCCAAAAAGTACAATCATAACAACAGATGAAACGACAACTACGGCATCCAAAACTGTACCTACTACAAGCACAGCACCAGACACTGCCGAAATAACAATGTCTCCAGCCATTACTACTGACGTACCCTCAACTACAACATTAACAGATATTTCAATTACTAGTGCATCCACAGTGGCATCAACTACAATCACAACAGAGACAACTGCTGAGACAACTGCCCTAGCAATGACAACGATTAACACTGAAGTACCCACAACCAATGAAACTCCAAAAAGTACAATCATAACAACAGATGTAAGTACAACTACGGCCTCCAACACTGAACCTACTAAAAGCACAGCACCAGACACTGCTGAAATAACAACGGCTCCAGCCATGACTACTGAGCTACCCTCAACTACAACATTAACAGATATTCCAACTACTAGTGCATCCACAGTGGCATCTACTACAATCACAACAGAGACAACTGCTGAGACAACTGCCCTGGCAATGACAACGATTAACACTGAAGTACCCACAACCAATGAAACTCCAACAAGTACAATCATAACAACAGATGTAACTACAACTACGGCCTCCAACACTAAACCTACTAAAAGCACAGCACCAGACACTGCCGAAATAACAATGGCTCCAGCCATGACTACTGAGGTACCCTCAACTACAACATTAACAGATATTCCAAGAACTAATGCATCCACGGTGGCATCTACTACAATCGCAACACAGACAATTGCTGAGACAACTACTCTAGCAATGACAACGAGTGATACTGAAGTACCCACAACCAATGAAACTCCATCAATTACAATAATAACAACAGATGTAACTACAGCTATGTCCTCCACAAATGTACCTACTACAAGCACAGCACCAGCAACTCCCGAAATAACAACGCCTCCAGCCATGACTACTGAGATACCCTCAGGTACAATATTAACAGATATTTCAACTACTAGAGCATCCACAGTGGCATCTACTACAATCACAACACAGACAATTGCTGAGACAGCTACTCTAGCAATGACAACGATTAACACTGAAATACACACAACCAATGAAACTCCAACAAGTACAATCATAACAACAGATAAAACTACAACTACGGCCTACACAACTGTAGCTACTACAAGCTCAGCACCAGCATCTGCCGAAATAACAATGGCTCCAGCCATGACTACTGAGGTACCCTCAACTACAACATTAACAAATATTCCAACAACTAGAGCATCCACAGTGGCATCTACTGCAATCACAACACAGAGAATTGTTGGGACAACAACTCTAGCAATGACAACGATTAAAACTGATGTACCCACAACCAATGAAACTCCAACAAGTACAATAATAACAACAGATGTAGCTACAACTATGGCCTCCACACCTGTACCTACAACAAGCATAGCACCAACAACTGCTGAAATAACAACGGCCCCAGCCATGGCTACTGAGATACCCTCAATTACAACATTATCAGATATTCCAACTACTAGTGCATCCACAATGGCATCTATTACAATCACAACACAGACAATTGCTGAGAAAACTGCTCCAGTAATGATAATGACTAACACTGAAGTACCCACAGCAACTAAAACTCCAACAAGTACAGTCATATCAACAGATGTAACTACAGCTACGGCCTCCACAGCTATACCTACTACAAGCACAGCACCAACAACTGCCAAAATAACAATGTCTCCGGCCATGACTACGGAGGTACCCTCAACAACAACATTAAAAGATATTCCAACAACTAGTGCATCCACAGTGGCATTTACTACAATCACACCACAGACAATTGCTGACACAACTGTTCTAGCAATGACAACAATTAACACTGAAGTACCCACAACCAATGAAACTCCAACAAGTACAATCACAACAATAGATGTAGCTGCAACCATGCCCCCCACAACTGTACCTACAACAAGCACAGCACCAACAACTGCTGAAATAACAACAGCCCCAGCCATGACTACTGAGATACCCTTAACTACAACATTAACAGATATTCCAACTACTAGTGCATCCACAGTGGCATCTACTACAATCATAACACAGACCATTGCTGAGACAACTGCTCTATCAATGACAACGATCAACACTGAAGTACCCACATCCAATAAAACTCTAACAAGTACAATCATAACAACAGATGTAAGTACAACTATGGCATCCACAACTCGACCTACTACAAGCACAGCACCAGCAATTGCTGAAATAACAACGGCTCTAGACATGACTACTGAGGTACCCTCAGCTACAATATTAACAGATATTTCAACTACTAAAGCATCCACAGTGGCATCAACTACAGTCATAACACAGACAACTGCTGAGACAACTGCTCTAGCAATGACAACGATTAACACTGTAGTACCCACAACCAATGAAACTCCAAAAAGTACATATTCAACAACAGATGTAAACACAACTACAGCATCCACAACTGTGCCTACTACAAGCACAGCACCAGACACTGCCGAAATAACAACGGCTCCAGCCATGACTACTAACGTACCTACAACTACAACACTAACAACTGATTTTCCCACTACTAGTGCATCCACAGTGCCATTCACCACAGCCACAAAACAGACAACTGTGGAGCCAACTGCTCAGGAAACAACAATAATTACTACGGATTTACCCAAAACAACCAGTGCAGCATCAACATCCTTTTTAACAACAGATTTAACAACAACTACTACATCCACAACTGAACGTACTACAAGCACAGCACCAGCCACTGCTGAAATAACAACAGCTTTAGCCGTGACAACAGCAGCATCTACCAGTGTACCCACAGTGGAGTCTTCTACAATTACAAAACAAACTGCTGAGAGAACTGCCTTAGAATCCACAACAATTAACACTGAAGTACCCAAAACCAATGAAATTCCAAAAACTACAATTTTAACTACAGATTTGCCTACAACTACTGCATCCAGTAAAAAATCTAGTACAAGCACAGCACCACCAACGCCTGAAATAACCATGGCTCCAGCCATGACTACTGACATACCCACAATTACAACACTAACAACAGATATTCCCTCAATCACTGCTTCTAAAGAGAAATCTACTCCCATCACGAAACATACAATTGCAGAAACTGCTTTAAATTTGACAATAATTACTACTAAAGTATCCACAACAACCAATGATGTACCAACAACTACAGTCATAATATCAGATTTGCTTTCAACTACTTTATCCACAACTAAATCTACTACAAGCACAGCACCAGTAACTTCTGAAACAACTGTATCAACAAAAGCTCTAGACACTACTCCTGAGGTACCCACAACTAAAACACTAACAACAGATATTCCCACTAAGAGTATTTCCACAAAACAGACAACTGCTCCTCTAGCAACAACAACAGTTAACACTGCAGCACCCACAAACAATGAAACTCCATCAAGTACAATAACAACAACAAATTTAATTACATCTACGGCATCTACAACCGAACCTACACCAAGCACAGCAGCAGCAACTGCCAAAATTACAATGGCTCCAGCCATGACTACTGACGTACCCAAAACTACAACACTAACAACAGATTTTCCCACTAAAAGTGTATCCACTGTGGCATCTGCTGCAGTCACAAAACAGAACACTGCTGAGAAAACTGCTCTACAGACAACAATTAAATCTGGAGTACCCCCTACCAAAGAGACACCAACAAATACAATCCTAACAACAGATTTACAGACAAGTACTGCATCCACAACCAATTTTACTAGAACAGCAACAGAAACTACTGAAACAACTGCTTCATCAACAACAACGGCTCTAGACACTACTAATGAGTTCCCCATAACTACAGCACTAACAACAGATATTCCCACTACCAGTGTGTCCACAGTGGAGTCTACTACGGTCAGAAAACATATAGCTGCCGAGACAACTGGTCTAGAAACAACAATGATGACTACTGAAGAACTCACAATAAACAAAGAAGCACCAACAACTAAAATACTAACAAAATATTTCAGTACAACTACTGCATCCACAACCAAACCTACAACAAGCACAGCACCAGTAACTGCTGAAATAACAACAGCTCCAGAGTTACCCAAAACTAAAATAGTAACAACAGATATTGCCACAAATAATGTATCCACAGTGACGTCTACTACAGTCACAAAACAGACAACTGTGGACAAAACTGCTCTAGAAACAACAATAATTACTACTGAGGAAAACACAACAGCCAATGAAGCACCTACAACTACAATCCTAACAACGGATTTAACCACAACTGCCACATTCACAACCGAACCTTCAACAAGCACAGCACCAACAACTGCCGAAATAACATCTCCAGTCATGACTGCTGCAGTATCTGCAACTACAACTCTAACAACAGATATTCCCTTTACAAGTGTCTCCACAGTGGAGTCTACTACAATCACCATATCAACAGCTGATTTTGTGACTTCCCCTGTTTCCACACCTGAGGTACCCCCAACTTCAATCACTGCACCAGTAACAGCACCATCAAAATTGGATTTAGTAACTGCTACTGCGTTCCCATTTCAGCACACTACAAATGCTTCACCAACTACAAACAGAACTACTGAAATACCCACAACTAAAGCCACAGAACAAACAACTGAAATGCTAATAACAAGTTTGTATACTACTGCTGCAGCCACCCTTCAGTCTACTACAAGTCCAGCAACTGCAGGTTCAACTGCATCACCAAGGACATTAAACTCAGAAACTACCACAACTAATTCACTCAGTACAGCAGCTAATTTAATAACAGTACCCATTGCTCCAGTTACTGTCCCAGATATTGCAGATCCATACAATCTGACAACTATCAATGCTACAACCACCTATCTACCAACATCAGGAGGAATGAGACAAAACAGAAAAATGTAAGTATTTCATAACTTAATATATAACCGTACACCATAAGAAATGACAAACATTGAAAGTATTTAACAACATACTTCTTCTAATTTTAGTTCTGCAGTGGTCTACAGCAGGCTGGTGTTCAACTCCTCCTCTCCTGTCCCTAGCGAGATTTTGGTCCTCAGTGCTACTGGAACTCTGTTCAGCTCTCGACGTGCAAACCTCAGTGATTCTACTGAAGTGTTGAATGTCACTTACGACAGTATGTTGTTTTCAGAATTTAATTATACTGGTACACTTATCCACAACATTGTACCACCGTTTCAAAAATCCTTTTTGAATGCATTAAACTAAAAGCCATATGACTTATTCCACAGAAATTTCAGAAACTTCCTATGCAATCATCTTCACATTCAACGTCACAAATATCAGCATGCCCGAGAGCACTGTCCTCATGAATGACACAAACATCCAAGTGAAGAACTCAGTCAACATCGCTGTAAGTCAAAATAACTATTCATTTTTTTCAGAACTTATGTCATAAATTGGTCTGAAATAAACTTGTAGATTTTATCCTTAACCTTGGCCCAGCTTGTGCCTGTTTTAATGATCTGTTTAAGCACTGTACCTCAACCAATATGAGTTATATCATTAATATTACTATTACTTTATTTTTCTAATATATGTGTCTGAGTTATTTCATATGCTCCATATATCATTCAACAGTGATATGTGGAATAAATGATGAGAAATAATTTTTAATTGCAAGATTGTATATTTCATTAATGTATATGTAAAATTTATTTTAGATCTGGGCAATATTGATTAGATCATCAATTGGTTAATGTAAAAACTTTGTGAGTCAATTTCACTATACAAATTTTTCGATGTTGCGGCCTAACTCGCGTCAGAACGAGGGCTGTTTTTTTCTTGATTGATCTTGTTCCTGAATCCACATTTTATACTGATCCTTTTCAGAACTGTGGCTTGACTAATCTAAGCTATATTATTAATTTTAATATTACTAATTACTTTTCTTATGCATTTTTGTTGAGCAATTTGACATGCTCTGCGTATCACACAACAGGGAGACAGAGAATATGTCATGATAATTTTAAAATGCAAGATTTGTGTATCTCAGTATTTTATATGTAATTAAATTGAAAATGTATTTCAGATTAGGGCAACATTGATTTGATAGTCAATTGAGTCACTTAAATACCTTTTATTGTTAAATAAAATGTGTCATTAGAACTTAAACCCTTTGTTTCTGTCTCCAGCTAAACACACTGCTTAATGAACCTAGTGCAGAACTGTTTGAACCCCAGAGATCTGATTTCAGGTTAGTTCACAACAGAAACCATTTATTTTGTGAATTTTTTTAATATTCATGCCTTTATGCAATAAATAGTGTTGTAATTATATTTCTTTCATTTTCTTGAACCAGAATGTTAGCAAACCAGGTTGAAGGTAACATGGAGTACAGCTTCCAAGAAGGAGACACCAAAACACCAATCACCTTCCTTAATAAGCTCAAGACACAGAGTGGTACGTTTAGTCACAATATTGTGTATCTTAGCTCCTCTATTCCTTTTAATTGATAGCTTTTATTCTATTTTAATGTAACGTTCCTTTAACAAATTATTGTTCTTTCTTGTAGCCTCACCTACAACGGTTTCTCCAATGGCTACAAGTAATCTGATTGTGACTTCTGCAGCAACTCCTTCCAAAATGTATGTTAAATACATAACAGATATGTTTCAAGTACAATTAAAAACTCTTTATTGATCTTCATTCAAAATTAATCAATATGATGATTTTTCCCTTCCAGTTCTACTTCTGCAGTGGTCTACAGCAGGCTGGTGTTCAACTCCTCCTCTCCTGTCCCCACTGAGAGTTTGGTCCTCAATGCTACCAACACTTTGCTCAAATCTCGACATGCAAACCTCAGTGATTCTACTAAAGTGCTGAACGTAACTTATGAGAGTATGTTTTCCTTTCTAATTTAATTTCACTGTTACAACTGTGTCCAACATTGTGCCACTGTTCTAAAAACCCTTCTATAATCCACCAAACTAAGAAAAACTTTCGATATTTTCCACAGAAATTTCAGAAACTTCCTATGCAGTCATCTTCACGTTCAACATCAGTGATATCAGCATGCCTGAGAGCACTGTCCTCATGAATGACACAAACACCCAAGTGAAGAACTCTGTCAACATCGCTGTGAGTCAATTTCACTATACAAATTTTTCGAAGTTGCGGCCTGACTCGTATCAGAACGAGGTTTTTTTTTTTTGTTGATTGATCTTGTTCCTGAATCCACATATTCTACTGATCCGTTTCAGAACTGTGGCTTGACTAATTTAAGCTATATTATTAATTTTAATATTAATAATTACTTTTCTTATGCATTTTTGTTGAGCAATTTGACATGCTCTGCGTATCACACAACAGGGAGACAGAGAATATGTCATGATAATTTTAAAATGCAAGATTTGTATATCTCAGTATTTCATATGTAATTAAATTGAAAATGTATTTGAAATTAGGGCAACATTGATTAGATAGTCAGTTGATTTATTTAAATACCTTTTATTATTCAATAAAATGTGTCATTGGAACTTAAAACCTTTCTGTCTCCAGCTAAACACACTGCTTAATGAACCTACTGCCGATCTGTTTGAACCCCAGAGATCTGACTTCAGGTTAGTTCACAACAGAAACCATTTATTTTGTGAAATTTTTTATATTCATGCCTTTGTGCAACAAATAGTGTTGTAATTATATTTCTTTCATTTTCATGAACCAGAATGTTAGCAAACCAGGTTGAAGGTAACATGGAGTACAGCTTTCAAGAGGGAGACACCAAAACACCAATCAGCTTCCTCAATGAGCTCAAGACCCAGAGTGGTACGTTTGGTCACAGTATTGTATATCTTAGCTCATCTATTCCTTTTAGTTGGTAGTTTTTATCCAATTTAAATGTAATATTCCTGTAAATAATTATTTGTTTTCTTGCAGTCTCAACTACAACAGTTTCTCCAATGACTACAAGCACTCTGATTGTGATGTCTGCAGCAACTCCTTCCAAAATGTATGGAAAATACATAAGATATATGTTGAATGGATAATTACAAATTCTTCATGTATAATCATTCAAAATTTGTCAATATGATGATTTTTCCCTTCCAGTTCTACTCCTGCAGTGGTCTACAGCAGGCTGGTGTTCAACTTCTCCTCTCCTGTCCCCAGTGAGAGTTTGGTCCTCAATGCTACCAACACTTTGCTCAACTCTCGACGTGCAAACCTCAGTGATTCTACTAAAGTGCTGAACGTAACCTATGAGAGTATGTTTTCCTTTCAAATTTAATTTCACTGTTACAACTGTGTCCAACATTGTACCACCGTTCTAAAAACCCTTCTTTAATCCACCAAACTAAGATAAACCTTTGATATTCCGCAGAAATTTCTGAAACTTCCTATGCAGTCATCTTCCTAATCAGCATCAGTAATATCAGCATGCCTGAGAGCACTGTCCTCATGAATGACACAAACATCCAAGTGAAGAACTCTGTCAACATCGCTGTGAGTCTACATCATTATACATATTTTTCCAATGTTGGGGCCTAAATCGCCTCAAAATGAGGGTGTAGTTTATTTCTGACTGATCTTGTTCTTGCTTCGACATATCTTACTGATGTTTTTAAGACTTGTGCCTTGACTAGTCTAAGCTATATTATTAATTTTATTATTAATAATGAGTTTCCTAATGCATTTCATGGGGCAATTTGACATGCTTTGTGTATCACTCAACAACGAGACATGGAATAGGTCATGATAATTTTAAAATGCAAGATTTGTATATCTCAGTATTTCATATGTAATTAAATTGAAAATGTATTTGAAATTAGGGCAACATTGATTAGATAGTCAGTTGATTTATTTAAATACCTTTTATTATTCAATAAAATGTGTCATTAGAACTTAAAACCTTTGTTTCTGTCTCCAGCTAAACACACTGCTTAATGAACCTACTGCCGATCTGTTTGAACCCCAGAGATCTGACTTCAGGTTAGTTCACAACAGAAACCATTTATTTTGTGAAATTTTTAATATTCCTGCCTTTGTGCAATAAATAGTGTTGTAATTATATTTCTTTCATTTTCATGAACCAGAATGTTAGCAAACCAGGTTGAAGGTAACATGGAGTACAGCTTTCAAGAGGGAGACACCAAAACACCAATCAGCTTCCTCAATGAGCTCAAGACACAGAGTGGTACGTTTAGTCACAGTATTGTGTATCTTAGCTCATCTATTCCGTTTAGTTGGTAGTTTTTATCCAATTTAAATGTAATATTCCTGTAAATAATTATTTATTTTCCTGCAGTCTCAACTACAACAGTTTCTCCAATGACTACAAGCACTCTGATTGTGACATCTGCAGCAATTCCTTCCAAAATGTATGGAAAATACATAAGATATATGTTGAATGGATAATTACAAATTCTTCATGTATAATCATTCAAAATTTGTCAATATGATGACTTTTCCCTTCCAGTTCTACTCCTGCAGTGGTCTACAGCAGGCTGGTGTTCAACTCCTCCTCTCCTGTCCCCAGTGAGAGTTTGGTCCTCAATGCTACCAACACTTTGCTCAACTCTCGACGTGCAAACCTCAGTGATTCTACTAAAGTGCTGAACGTCACCTATGAGAGTATGTTTTCCTTTCTAATTTAATTTCACTGTTACAACTGTGTCCAACATTGTGCCACTGTTCTAAAAACCCTTCTGTAATCCATCAAACTAAGAAAAACTTTTGATATTTTCCACAGAAATTTCAGAAACTTCCTATGCAGTCATCTTCACATTCAGCATCAGTAATATCAGCATGCCTGAGAGCACTGTCCTCATGAACGACACATACACCCAAGTGAAGAACTCCGTCAACATCGCTGTGAGTCTACATCATTATACATATTTTTCCAATGTTTTGGCCTAAATCGCCTCAAAATGAGGGTGTAGTTTATTTCTGACTGATCTTGTTCTTGCTTCAACATATCTTACTGATGTTTTTAAGACTTGTGCCTTGACTAATCTAAGCTATATTTTCAATTTTATTATTAATAATGAGTTTCCTAATGCATTTCACGGAGCAATTTGACATGCTTTGTGTACCACTGAAGAACAAGACATGGAATAAGTCATGATAATTTTCTAATGCAACATTTGTGTAATGCAGAATTATATATGTAATTGAAGTTAAAATGTATTTCAGATTAGGGCAACATTGATTAGATAGTCAAGTGGTTCATTTAAATAACTTTTATTATTCAATAAAATGTGTCATTAGAACTTAAAACCTTTGTTTCTGTCTCCAGCTAAACACACTGCTTAATGAACCTACTGCAGAACAGTTTAAACCTCAGAGATCTGATTTCAGGTTAGTTCACAACAGAAATTATTTATTTTGTGAAATATTAAACGTTCATGCCTTTGTGAAGTACATAGTGTTGTAATTATATTTCTTTCATTTTCTTGAACCAGAATGTTAGCAAACCAGGTTGAAGGTAACATGAAGTACAGCTTCCAAGAAGGAGATACCAAAACACCAATCAGCTTCCTCAATGAGTTCAGGACACAGAGTGGTACGTTTAGTCACAGTACTGTGTATCTTAGCTCATCTATTCCTTTTAGTTGGTAGTTTTTATTTGCTTTAAACATAATATCCTCTAACTAATTATTGTTTTCTGGCAGTCTCAACTACAACAGTTTCTCCAATGACTACAAGCAATCTGGCTGCGACGTCTGCCAGAACTCCTTCCAAAATGTATGTTAAATACATAAGATATATGTTTAATGGATAATTAATGGATGATTCTTCAAATTCTTCACGTTTCATCATTGAAAATTTGTCAATATGATGACTTTTCCCTTCCAGTTCTACTCCTGCAGTGGTCTACAGCAGGCTGGTGTTCAACTCCTCCTCTCCTGTCCCCAGTGAGAGTCTGGTCTTCAATGCTACCAACACTTTGCTCAACTCTCGACGTGCAAACCTCAGTAATTCTACTAAAGTGCTGAACGTCACCTATGAGAGTATGTTTTTCTTTCTAATTTATTTACACTGTTGCAACTGTGTCCATCAGGGTACCAACATTCTAAAGACCCTTCTTTAATCTACCAAACTAAAAGCCATTTGAATTGTTCCACAGAAATTTCAGAAACTTCCTATGCAGTCATTTTTACAATCAGCATCAGTAATATCAGCATGCCTGAGAACACTGTCCTCATGAATGACACAAACATCCAAGTGAAGAACTCTGTCAACATCGCTGTGAGTCTACATCATTATACATATTTTTCCAATGTTTTGGCCTAAATCGCCTCAAAATGAGGGTGTAGTTTATTTCTGACTGATCTTGTTCTTGCTTCAACATATCTTACTGATGTTTTTAAGACTTGTGCCTTGACTAATCTAAGCTATATTTTCAATTTTATTATTAATAATGAGTTTCCTAATGCATTTCACGGAGCAATTTGACATGCTTTGTGTACCACTGAAGAACAAGACATGGAATAAGTCATGATAATTTTCTAATGCAACATTTGTGTAATGCAGAATTATATATGTAATTGAAGTTAAAATGTATTTGAGATTAGGGCAACATTGATTAGATAGTCAAGTGGTTCATTTAAATAACTTTTATTATTCAATAAAATGTGTCATTAGAACTTAAAAACCTTTGCTTCTGTCTCCAGCTAAACACACTGCTTAATGAACCTACTGCAGATCTGTTTGAACCCCAGAGATCTGACTTCAGGTTAGTTCACAACAGAAATTATTTTTTTTTGTGAAATATTTAACGTTCATGCCTTTGTGCAGTAAATAGTGTTGTAACTATATTTCTTTCATTTTCTTGAACCAGAATATTAGCAAACCAGGTTGAAGGTAACATGGAGTACAGCTTCCAAGAGGGAGACACCAAAACACCAATCAGCTTCCTCAATGAGCTCAAGACCCAGAGTGGTACGTTTGGTCACAGTATTGTATATCTTAGCTCATCTATTCCTTTTAGTTGGTAGTTTTTATCCAATTTAAATGTAATATTCCTGTAAATAATTATTTGTTTTCTTGCAGTCTCAACTACAACAGTTTCTCCAATGACTACAAGCACTCTGATTGTGATGTCTGCAGCAACTCCTTCCAAAATGTATGGAAAATACATAAGATATATGTTGAATGGATAATTACAAATTCTTCATGTATAATCATTCAAAATTTGTCAATATGATGACTTTTCCCTTCCAGTTCTACTCCTGCAGTGGTCTACAGCAGGCTGGTGTTCAACTCCTCCTCTCCTGTCCCCAGTGAGAGTTTGGTCCTCAATGCTACCAACACTTTGCTCAACTCTCGACGTGCAAACCTCAGTGATTCTACTAAAGTGCTGAACGTCACCTATGAGAGTATGTTTTCCTTTCTAATTTAATTTCACTGTTACAACTGTGTCCAACATTGTGCCACTGTTCTAAAAACCCTTCTGTAATCCATCAAACTAAGAAAAACTTTTGATATTTTCCACAGAAATTTCAGAAACTTCCTATGCAGTCATCTTCACATTCAGCATCAGTAATATCAGCATGCCTGAGAACACTGTCCTCATGAACGACACATACACCCAAGTGAAGAACTCCGTCAACATCGCTGTGAGTCTACATCATTATACATATTTTTCCAATGTTTTGGCCTAAATCGCCTCAAAATGAGGGTGTAGTTTATTTCTGACTGATCTTGTTCTTGCTTCAACATATCTTACTGATGTTTTTAAGACTTGTGCCTTGACTAATCTAAGCTATATTTTCAATTTTATTATTAATAATGAGTTTCCTAATGCATTTCACGGAGCAATTTGACATGCTTTGTGTACCACTGAAGAACAAGACATGGAATAAGTCATGATAATTTTCTAATGCAACATTTGTGTAATGCAGAATTATATATGTAATTGAAGTTAAAATGTATTTGAGATTAGGGCAACATTGATTAGATAGTCAAGTGGTTCATTTAAATAACTTTTATTATTCAATAAAATGTGTCATTAGAACTTAAAAACCTTTGCTTCTGTCTCCAGCTAAACACACTGCTTAATGAACCTACTGCAGATCTGTTTGAACCCCAGAGATCTGACTTCAGGTTAGTTCACAACAGAAATTATTTTTTTTTGTGAAATATTTAACGTTCATGCCTTTGTGCAGTAAATAGTGTTGTAACTATATTTCTTTCATTTTCTTGAACCAGAATATTAGCAAACCAGGTTGAAGGTAACATGGAGTACAGCTTCCAAGAGGGAGACACCAAAACACCAATCAGCTTCCTCAATGAGCTCAAGACCCAGAGTGGTACGTTTGGTCACAGTATTGTATATCTTAGCTCATCTATTCCTTTTAGTTGGTAGTTTTTATCCAATTTAAATGTAATATTCCTGTAAATAATTATTTATTTTCCTGCAGTCTCAACTACAACAGTTTCTCCAATGACTACAAGCACTCTGATTGTGATGTCTGCAGCAACTCCTTCCAAAATGTATGGAAAATACATAAGATATATGTTGAATGGATAATTACAAATTCTTCATGTATAATCATTCAAAATTTGTCAATATGATGACTTTTCCCTTCCAGTTCTACTCCTGCAGTGGTCTACAGCAGGCTGGTGTTCAACTCCTCCTCTCCTGTCCCCAGTGAGAGTTTGGTCCTCAATGCTACCAACACTTTGCTCAACTCTCGACGTGCAAACCTCAGTGATTCTACTAAAGTGCTGAACGTAACCTATGAGAGTATGTTTTCCTTTCAAATTTAATTTCACTGTTACAACTGTGTCCAACATTGTACCACCGTTCTAAAAACCCTTCTTTAATCCACCAAACTAAGATAAACCTTTGATATTCCGCAGAAATTTCTGAAACTTCCTATGCAGTCATCTTCCTAATCAGCATCAGTAATATCAGCATGCCTGAGAGCACTGTCCTCATGAATGACACAAACATCCAAGTGAAGAACTCTGTCAACATCGCTGTGAGTCTACATCATTATACATATTTTTCCAATGTTGGGGCCTAAATCGCCTCAAAATGAGGGTGTAGTTTATTTCTGACTGATCTTGTTCTTGCTTCGACATATCTTACTGATGTTTTTAAGACTTGTGCCTTGACTAGTCTAAGCTATATTATTAATTTTATTATTAATAATGAGTTTCCTAATGCATTTCATGGGGCAATTTGACATGCTTTGTGTATCACTCAACAACGAGACATGGAATAGGTCATGATAATTTTAAAATGCAAGATTTGTATATCTCAGTATTTCATATGTAATTAAATTGAAAATGTATTTGAAATTAGGGCAACATTGATTAGATAGTCAGTTGATTTATTTAAATACCTTTTATTATTCAATAAAATGTGTCATTAGAACTTAAAACCTTTGTTTCTGTCTCCAGCTAAACACACTGCTTAATGAACCTACTGCCGATCTGTTTGAACCCCAGAGATCTGACTTCAGGTTAGTTCACAACAGAAACCATTTATTTTGTGAAATTTTTAATATTCCTGCCTTTGTGCAATAAATAGTGTTGTAATTATATTTCTTTCATTTTCATGAACCAGAATGTTAGCAAACCAGGTTGAAGGTAACATGGAGTACAGCTTTCAAGAGGGAGACACCAAAACACCAATCAGCTTCCTCAATGAGCTCAAGACACAGAGTGGTACGTTTAGTCACAGTATTGTGTATCTTAGCTCATCTATTCCGTTTAGTTGGTAGTTTTTATCCAATTTAAATGTAATATTCCTGTAAATAATTATTTATTTTCCTGCAGTCTCAACTACAACAGTTTCTCCAATGACTACAAGCACTCTGATTGTGACATCTGCAGCAACTCCTTCCAAAATGTATGGAAAATACATAAGATATATGTTGAATGGATAATTACAAATTCTTCATGTATAATCATTCAAAATTTGTCAATATGATGACTTTTCCCTTCCAGTTCTACTCCTGCAGTGGTCTACAGCAGGCTGGTGTTCAACTCCTCCTCTCCTGTCCCCAGTGAGAGTTTGGTCCTCAATGCTACCAACACTTTGCTCAACTCTCGACGTGCAAACCTCAGTGATTCTACTAAAGTGCTGAACGTCACCTATGAGAGTATGTTTTCCTTTCTAATTTAATTTCACTGTTACAACTGTGTCCAACATTGTGCCACTGTTCTAAAAACCCTTCTGTAATCCATCAAACTAAGAAAAACTTTTGATATTTTCCACAGAAATTTCAGAAACTTCCTATGCAGTCATCTTCACATTCAGCATCAGTAATATCAGCATGCCTGAGAGCACTGTCCTCATGAACGACACATACACCCAAGTGAAGAACTCCGTCAACATCGCTGTGAGTCTACATCATTATACATATTTTTCCAATGTTGGGGCCTAAATCGCCTCAAAATGAGGGTGTAGTTTATTTCTGACTGATCTTATTCTTGCTTCGACATATCTTACTGATGTTTTTAAGACTTGTGCCTTGACTAATCTAAGCTATATTATTAATTTTATTATTAATAATGAGTTTCCTAATGCATTTGACAGGGCATTTTGACATGCTTTGTGTATCTCTCAGCAACGAGACATGGAATAGGTCATGATAATTTTCTAATGCAACATTTGTGTAATGCAGAATTATATATGTAATTGAAGTTAAAATGTATTTCAGATTAGGGCAACATTGATTAGATAGTCAAGTGGTTCATTTAAATAACTTCTATTATTCAATAAAATGTGTCATTGGAACTTAAAACCTTTGTTTCTGTCTCCAGCTAAACACACTGCTTAATGAACCTACTGCAGAACAGTTTAGACCTCAGAGATCTGACTTCAGGTTAGTTCACAACAGAAATTATTTATTTTGTGAAATATTAAACGTTCATGCCTTTGTGAAGTACATAGTGTTGTAATTATATTTCTTTCATTTTCTTGAACCAGAATGTTAGCAAACCAGGTTGAAGGTAACATGGAGTACAGCTTCCAAGAGGGAGACACCAAAACACCAATCAGCTTCCTCAACGAACTCAAGACACAGAGTGGTACGTTTAGTCACAGTATTGTGTATCTTAGCTCATCTATTCCTTTTAGTTGGTAGTTTTTATCCGGTTTAAATGTAATATTCCTGTAAATAATTATTTTCTTTTCTCACAGTCTCAACTACAACAGTTTCTCCAATGACTACAAGCACTTTGATTGTGACATCTGCAGCAACTCCTTCCAAAATGTATGTAAAATACATAAGATATATGTTTAATGGACAATTACAAATTCTTCATATATAATCATTCAAAATTTGTCAATATGATGACTTTTCCCTTCCAGTTCTACTTCTGCAGTGGTCTACAGCAGGCTGGTGTTCAACTCCTCCTCTCCTGTCCCCAGTGAGAGTTTGGTCCTCAACGCTACCAACACTTTGCTCAACTCTCGACGTGCAAACCTCAGCGATTCTACTAAAGTGCTGAACGTCACCTATGAGAGTATGTTTTTCTTTCTAATTTATTTACACTGTTGCAACTGTCCATCATTGTACCAACATTCTAAAGACCCTTCTTTAATCTACCAAACTAAAAGCCATTTGACTTTTTCCACAGAAATTTCAGAAACTTCCTATGTAGTCATTTTCACATTCAGCATCAGTAATATCAGCATGCCTGAGAGCACTGTCCTCATGAACGACACAAATATCCAAGTGAAGAACTCTGTCAACATCGCTGTGAGTCTACATCACTGTACATATTTTTTCATTGTTGGGGCCTAAATTGCTTCAGAATAAGGTTGCAGTTTTTTCTTATTTATCTGCATTTAGGTGCAACATAACTTACTGATCTGTTTAAGAAATTTAGCTTGACTAATCTGATTAATAATACTATTAATGTCAATAATAATTTGTTTTTCTAAAGCACACTTCTGATCTCTTTAATATGCTGTGCATATATTCAACAGTGATACATAGAATGAAAGATAATTCATTTTAAATTTCAAACTGTGTACCTCAGTATTATATATGTAAATGATTTGAAAACGTATTTCAAATTTGGGCCGCATTTACTACATAGTCAATTGTTTATTTTTAATATCTTTTCATATTCAGTTAAATGTGTCCTTAGAACTTAAAGTATTTGATTTTGATTCTGTCTCTAGCTAAACACACTGCTTAACAAACCTAGTGCAGAACTGTTTGAACCCCAGAGATCTGACTTCAGGTTAGTTCGCAACAAAGTTCACTCATGTTCTGAAATTTCTAACTTTCATGGATATTGTGCAGTAAACAGTGTTATAATTATGTTTCTTTCATTTTCTTGAACCAGAATGTTAGCAAACCAGGTTGAAGGTAACATGGAGTACAGCTTCCAAGAGGGAGACACCAAAACACCAATCAGCTTCCTCAACGAACTCAAGACACAGAGTGGTACATTTAGTCACAGTATTGTGTATCTTAGCTCATCTATTCCTTTTAGTTGGTAGTTTTTATCCAATTTAAATGTAATATTCCTGTAAATAATTATTTATTTTCCTGCAGTCTCAACTACAACAGTTTCTCCAATAACTACAAGCATTTTGATTGTGACGTCTGCAGCAACTCCTTCCAAAATGTATGTTAAATACATAAGATATATGTTTAATGGACAATTACAAATTCTTCATGTATAATCATTCAAAATTTGTCAATATGATGACTTTTCCCTTCCAGTTCTACTCCTGCAGTGGTCTACAGCAGGCTGGTGTTCAACTCCTCCTCTCCTGTCCCCAGTGAGAGTTTGGTCCTCAATGCTACCAACACTTTGCTCAACTCTCGACGTGCAAACCTCAGTGATTCTACTAAAGTGCTGAACGTCACCTATGACAGTATGTTTTTCTTTCTAATTTATTTACACTGTTGCAACTGTCCATCATTGTACCAACATTCTAAAGACCCTTCTTTAATCTACCAAACTAAAAGCCATTTGACTTTTTCCACAGAAATTTCAGAAACTTCCTATGCAGTCATCTTCACATTCAGCATCAGTAATATCAGCATGCCTGAGAGCACTGTCCTCATGAACGACACATACACCCAAGTGAAGAACTCCGTCAACATCGCTGTGAGTCTACATCATTATACATATTTTTCCAATGTTGGGGCCTAAATCGCCTCAAAATGAGGGTGTAGTTTATTTCTGACTGATCTTATTCTTGCTTCGACATATCTTACTGATGTTTTTAAGACTTGTGCCTTGACTAATCTAAGCTATATTATTAATTTTTTTATTAATAATGAGTTTCCTAATGCATTTCATGGAGCAATTTGACATGTTTTGTGTATCACTCAACAACAAGACATGGAATAGGTCATGATAATTTTAAAATGCAAGATTTGTATATCTCAGTATTTCATATGTAATTAAATTGAAAATGTATTTGAAATTAGGGCAACATTGATTAGATAGTCAGTTGATTTATTTAAATACCTTTTATTATTCAATAAAATGTGTCATTGGAACTTAAAACCTTTCTGTCTCCAGCTAAACACACTGCTTAATGAACCTACTGCCGATCTGTTTGAACCCCAGAGATCTGACTTCAGGTTAGTTCACAACAGAAACCATTTATTTTGTGAAATTTTTAATATTCATGCCTTTGTGCAATAAATAGTGTTGTAATTATATTTCTTTCATTTTCATGAACCAGAATGTTAGCAAACCAGGTTGAAGGTAACATGGAGTACAGCTTTCAAGAGGGAGACACCAAAACACCAATCAGCTTCCTCAATGAGCTCAAGACACAGAGTGGTACGTTTGGTACACAGAGTGGTATATTTAGTCACAGTATTGTTTATCTTAGCTCATCTATTCCTTTTAGTTGGTATCAGCTTCCTCAATGAGCTCAAGACCCAGAGTGGTATATTTAGTCACAATATTTTGTATCTTAGCTCATCTGTTCCTTTCAGTTGGTAGTTTTTATTCGGTTTAAATGTAATATTCCTGTAAATAATTATTTATTTTCCTGCAGTCTCAACTACAACAGTTTCTCCAATGACTACAAGCACTCTGATTGTGACGTCTGCAGCAACTCCTTCCAAAATGTATGTTAAATACATAAGATATATGTTTAATGGATAATTACAAATTCTTCATGTATAATCATTCAATATGATGACTTTTCCCCTCTAGTTCTACTTCTGCAGTGGTCTACAGTAGGCTGGTGTTCAACTCCTCCTCTCCTGTCCCCAGTGAGAGTCTGGTCCTCAATGCTACCAACACTTTGCTCAACTCCCGACATGTAAACCTCAGCAATTCTACTAAAGTGCTCAACGTCACCTATGAAAGTATGTTTTCCTTTCTAACTTACTCTATATTACCAAAAGTATTCACTCATCCATCCAAATTATTGAATTCAGGTGTTCCAGTCCCGTCCATGGCCACAGGTGTATAAAACCAAGCACCTAGGCATGCAGAATGCTTCTCCAAACATTTGTGAAAGAATGGGTTGCTCTCAGGAGCTCAGTGAATTCCAGCGTGGTACTGTGATAGGATGCCACCTGTGCAACAAGTCCAGTCGTGAAATTTCCTCGGTACTAAATATTCCACAGTCAACTGTCAGTGGTATTATAACAAAGTGGAAGCAATTGGGAATGACAGCAACTCAGCAACGAAGTGGTAGGCCACGTAAAATGACAGAGCGGGGTCAGCGGATGCTGAGGCACATAGTGCGCACAGGTCGTCAACTTTCTGCAGAGTCAATCGCTACTTACCTCCAAACTTCATGTGGCCTTCAGATTAGCTCAAGAACAGTGCGTAAAGAGCTTAATGGAATGGGTTTCTATGGCCGAGCAGCTGCATCCAAGCCTTACATCATCAAGCACAATGCAATGCGTCGAATGCAGTAGTGTAAAGCACGCTGCCACTGGACTCTAGAGCAGTGGAGACGTGTTCTCTGGAGTGACGAATCACGCTTCTCCGTCTGGCAATCCGATGGATGAGTCTGGGTTTGGCTGTTGCCGGGAGAATGGTACTTGTCTGACTGCATTGTGCCAAGTGTAAAGTTTGGTGGAGGGGGGATTATGGTGTGGGGTTGTTTTTCAGGAGTTGAGCTTGGCCCCTTAGTTCCAGTGAAAGGAACTCTTAATGCTTCAGCATACCAAGAGATTTTGGACAATTTCATGCTCCCAACTGTGTGGGAACAGTTTGGGGATAGCCCCTTTCTGTTCCAACATGACTGCGCACCAGTGCACAAAGCAAGGTCCATAAAGACATGGGTGAGAGAGTTTGGTGTGGAAGAAATTGACTGGCCTGCACAGAGTCCTGACCTCAACCCGATAGAACACCTTTGGGATGAAATAGAGTGGAGACTGCAAGCCAGGCTTTCTCATCCAACATCAGTGTCTGACCTCACAAATGCGCTTCTGGAAGAATGGTCAAAAATTCCCATAAACACATTCCTAAACCTTGTGGAAAGCCTTCCCAGAGGAGTGGAAGCTGTTATAGCTACAAAGGGTGGGCCGACATCATATTAAACCCTATGGATTAAGAATGGGATGTCACTCAAGTTCATATGCGTGTGAAGGCAGATGAGCGAATACTTTTGGCAGTATAGTGTAACTACACTGTTACAACTGTGTAGAACATTGTACCAACGTTCAAAAAACCCTTCTTTAATCCATCTAACAATTTTTTTCCACAGAAATTTCAGAAACTTCCTATGCAGTCATCTTCACGTTCAGCATTAGTAATATTAGCATGCCTGAGAGCACTGTCCTCATGAATGACACAAACATCCAAATGCAGAACTCTGTCAACATTGCTGTGAGTCAACATCATTATACATATTTTTCCAATGTTGGGGCCTAAATCGCCTCAGAATAAGGGTGCAGGTTTTCTTTTTTTGATTGATCTTGTACGAAATATTTTACTGATCCATACTCGCGACTTGACTAATTTTAGATGTATTATTAATTTATTATTAATAATGAGTTTCCTAATGCATATTACTGAGCAATTTGACATGCTCTGTGTATCACTCAACAATGATACTGGAAATAAATCATGATAATTTTATAATGCAAGATTTGTGTACCTCAGTATTATATATGAAATTAAATTGAAAATTTATTTCAGATTAGGGCAACATTGATTAGATAGTCAATTGGTTAATTTAAATACCTTTTATTGTTAAATAAAATGTGTCATTAAAACTTAATCCCTTTTTCTTTCTCCAGCTAAACACACTGCTTAATGAACCTAGTGCAGATCTGTTTGAACCCCAGAGATCTGACTTCAGGTTAGTTCACAACAGAAATTTCCATGTTCTGAAATTTCTAGCTTTCTTGCCTTTGTGCAATAAATAGTGTTGTAATTATATTTCTTTCATTTTCATGAACCAGAATGTTAGCAAACCAGGTTGAAGGTAACATGGAGTACAGCTTTCAAGAGGGAGACACCAAAACACCAATCAGCTTCCTCAATGAGCTCAAGACCCAGAGTGGTACGTTTACTCACTGTATTGTGTATCTTAGCTCATGTATTCCTTTTAGTTGTTTAGTTTTTATTTGCTTTAAATGTAATACTTCTTTTAACAAATTATTTGTTTTCCTGCAGTCTCAACTACAACAGTTTCTCCAATGACTACAAGCATTTTGATTGTGACGTCTGCCAGAACTCCTTCCAAAATGTATGTAAAATATATAAGATATATGTTTAATGGATAATCAATGGATAATTCTTTAAATATAAAAAATTCTTCATGTATAATCATTCAAAAATAATCAACATGGTGATTTTTCCCTTCCAGTTCTACTTCTGCAGTGGTCTACAGCAGGCTGGTTTTCGACTCCTTCTCTCCTGTCCCCAGTGAGAGTTTGGTCCTCAAGGCTACCAGCACTTTGCTCAGCTCTCGACTTAGAAACCTCAGTGATTGTACTAAAGTGCTGAATGTCACCAATGAGAGTATGTGTTCTTTGATGTATATCCATTAATAATCACTGAAGGTTTCCAAACTGACCTTCTTAGACATGCTTTATATTTTTTAATTTTGCTCTGTAGAGAGTGTTAAAAATTTTAGGTTTCTGTCACTATTTTTCAAGATGGCGGGCATGGCTTTTTTTTGACTGAAGAATAAAAAATGACATCATTTTGTTTAGACTATTAATAGTTAATGCTTGAAATTTCTCAGCAAGTATTATTTACAATCACATCATGTGTACATTTTAAATGCATATTGCTCATGTCTAGCAAAGACTATCAAAACATTTTTTTTGCATGTTTATCTCTTTCTGTAGTGCCCATTTCAAGGCCAAAATTACAGCCACACCTCTTTGTATTTAAAGCATTTGTATCTCAGAAACTAGTGAAGATACAGGCCTTGCATTTTGTGTGATGGATATCAAACATAGTGATATAATATTCTTAAACTTTCCAATCCAATATAAACAGTCAGTTTTTTCTGACATTTGTCAATTAGGGTCAATTTACCCTTGTTTGCTTTGTTCCATAGAAATTTCAGACACCTCCTATGCAGTCATCTTCACATTCAGCCTCAATAATATCAGCATGCCAGAGAGCACTGTCCTCAGGAACAACACCTACATCCAAGTGCAGAACTCCATCAACAATGCAGTAAGTGTATAATATCATTTGCTTTATGTAATGTGTCTTCAATCAGAATTGGATTTGCTAATGCATTTTTAACCTATGTGACACATAAATACTGTGCAGCCAAGTATGATAAATCCATGAGTTAAAATTATTACAAATTTGAGCCATAAAAAAGAAACCTAAGTGCAAGTGTTTTCTAAAGTTTAAAATACCTCATTGTGATATGTCATTAGATCTAAATCTTTCTGTTTTTGTTCTAGCTAAACACACTGCTAAATGAACCTGGTGCAGCACACTTTGAACCCAAGAACTCTACCTTTATGTAAGTTTACAGTGGAAATGATTTTTGTTCTGAACTTTCTTCTTGTGGTTGTAATTGTACAGTGCATGATATTGCAATCAATCTTTTTTTTATATTTCTCTTAACAGAAGTTCAGCACATCAGATTAAAGGTAACATGGAGTACAGCTTCCAAGATGGAGACACCAAAACACCAATCAGCTTCCTCAACGAACTCAAGACACAGAGTGGTGAGTTAAAATACAATATCTTTATCTCAATAGGTCTCTTACATTTAGTTTTTATTTAAAGTTTTATCGAATTCACCTATTACTCATTCTTAATCTGTTTCTGCCTTATTCACAGATATTTTTACTTACAGCATGTTTTGTAATGATATCTTTCAAATATGTTTATAGGTGACACACCTACCATGCCCCCCATAGCAAGCACAGCTGTGCAGAGCACAACAGTTCTAACTCCGGAGATTATGACAACTCCAGTTCTGGAGAGAACTACTTCTACAATTATGGACATCACAACGTCTCCCACTCTGGAGATCACGACAGCTCCACCTCAGGAGATCATGGCAACTCCAACTCTGGAGATCACGGCAGCTTCAACTCTGGAGATCACGACAGCTCCACCTCAGCAGATTACGGCAGCTCCAACTTTGTAAGTGCAATGCTAAAATAGTTACGTTAAATAAAAAACTTAACTATGTGTTGTGCATGTATGTTTTCTCACATGTGCTTCTGTTTTCTTCATTCCATTACAATAATAATATGCTGTATTATAAGTCTGATATAATTGTGAAATAATTTTCAATGTTTTTCAAGTTCTCTTCATCACTGTCTCATTCTCCATGTAATATAGAAATCTTACTTTCTGTCCTTTTCCAGAATGGGGAGTGTGCTGATTTATATCCGCTTGGTGTTTAAGAACCTGACCACTCTACCCAGTGAGGCAGAGGTTCTTAATGCTGCTAATACTCTGCTGGACTCAGGTGTCAGAATGAAGCGAGATGTCAGCACACAAAAACTGAATAACCCAGTTAGCATCCAGAATGTCACCTATCAAAGTGAGTTGATTAGAGTATCAACTTTGTTGTAAATTTAAAATGTTGTTTTTCTGCTGAGAGCCCACATATTCAGCTAAGAAATGGCCTCAAACAGCTAATTCAATATTAGAAGTAGTGATGTTTTATGATTTCTTATAACCTGTTATATAACTCCATTATTTTCTTTTTAGAAACGGGCAGCAACTCATACACTATCAGCTTTGCATTCAAAATCAGTAATGTGAGCATTTCTAGAAACATTGAACTGAGGAATGAAACATATGATGCAATCCAAAATACCATCAATGGCCTGGTGAGTGTCAGACAGTCTTATACTCTTTCTCTAGCCTAAATCTGATTTTTTTCACACTTTTGAAATATTCACAAATGATACTTATGCAATTGTAGCTCATAACTGATTTTTATTCTCATCTTCAGCTGAACAAAATACTAAATGACCCAAATGCTACGCCATTTGTCTTCCAACGAGCAAACTACACGTAAGTAATGATTCAACGTTTACGGAATTGAATCTGTCAGCAAACATAAACTGTGAAAATTCACAGACAAAATGAAATGACTAATTTCACTTGGTTTCTTTGTTCTTTCTAGGGGTAATGATACTGTGATTCAGGCTGATGCAGAATACATCTTTATGGAAGGAGATATCAAGACACCAAGTGGATTTCTGAAGGAAATACTCAAAATTAGTGGATTAGCTGGAGGAGGGTTTCCAGGATGGGCCCTAGCCATCATTATCCCCTGTGGTATAGCCATCATTCTTGTACCCTGCTGGATTATACTCTGTGTAAGTTCTTCAAGAGTGCTTGCATTTTAAATAAAAGCAGTTAGTAACTGAAAAGGTTAGATTAAATTGAATGGAACCAGTACTGTTAATATAAAGAAACTGCTAAAAAATAAATAATTTATAGATGTTTTAGTTAAATAAATCTTAAATTCATGCCAGACATCCACATCACCTTTCCTTGGATGGAATCAAACTGCAACATTTTCCAGAGAGGAAAAAATCATGTGCGGGAGCACTTCTTTTTCTGAGGGACTTTCTTTTCTAATTAAAAAGCAGGTTTAAAACTTGACAGCAGATCTGTTTGTTTCTGCAAAATTACAGTCACAAGTTTTAACCACTGTGTCAGAGAAGAGTCTCCTCCACACACTATTAGTATGGCACAGGAGCGAAAAGATCAACAAATTTTAATTTAGCTTTGTCTGACAACGGACTACAAATGCTTTAAAAATTATCGTTTTTTTGGGTGATGTTGGGAATGAGTATTCGGATACTTGTTCAACAATATCAGTGAGTATTCACTAAGCCTGAGTAAAAGTAAAATGCTGTTTGGGCCAGTTAGTGATACTATGCATTATATAATACTTTACATGATAAACATATTATGAAAATCTAATATATAAAGTGACCATAGTATTATTAATATTTTAATGGGTTTTTTTCCTGCAGATAATGCTTTCTGGTTGCTGTGGAGCCGTTCGAAGACGCTGGCATAGACGGCAGTCATACAACGTGCAGTATCCAATACACAACAGCCTCTTCTAAAGAACGAGTTCTTCACGCAACAACACCTTACATAAATTTAAAGCCTGTTATGGTGAATAAATGTTAAAAATTTAGTCGTGATCATTTGTGGTGTATCCCTTTAATTGCTTGCAAGTGTTTTAGTATATGTTACGTTTTGTTCCTGTATTGCTGAATTTATACAGGATGTATGTTACATTTTCAGAGGAATATAATTTAATGAATGTATAAAATCAGGAACAAGTTCTAATTTATTGAATTAATTTATTTTCCAGTATCAGTATTTCATGTTAATTTATTAATTAAATCAAAATTGTGTACTACACGTTTCATTCCAAACAGAGGGAAATGTCTGAAATGCTGTTATTTATTCATACTGCACTTTATCTACATGGCGACAACAAATGAATTTGATTATTTCTTTGTTATGTATTATGAAATGAGAGTCACTGTTCTCAAAACGATTCTTTTCTTTATATCATTAAATTGAGTATTTATCACTAACTTTGATGTTTTTGTACGTTCTGTACTGCATGCATTTTCACACCATTTTTTAATTTGTAAATTTAAAACAATTATGGAAGATCCAATCAATTGTCAATTTTGACAATTTTGACAATCACTTCAGCTTCATCTTTGTCACAGAGATGACATTCTCGGATTTCAACAAGATTGAAATGTAAATGTGTTATTTAGCCTTATTTGTGGTGTTTTTAGATTATAAACTGTTCCTTAGAAACAAGCATTTTTCCAGATGTTCTGCAAGGTTGGTCAGGCCTCTACTAATAAAACACTATGTAGATTCATCTTTTTAAAGCAGTTTTAGACCAATTTCGAACCATTTTTAAGTAAACTAGAACTAGAAAAAGTTCGAGTTTGTAAATGAAAATGATATTTTTAAAAAAATCCAGTCAGGTTTCATATCAGGTCACAGTACTGAAACAGCACTGTTAAAGATAGTTAACAATCTCAGAGTCAATGCTGCTGAAAATAGGGTTTAGGCAGTGTTTGACATGGTAGACCATGATATTCTTATGAACTGCCTCGAAATTGGGCAAGCTTTTCTGGAACTGTCTTAAAGTAGTTTCATATATATCTTAAAGATATGTGCTTTGTTAATCCAGTTGAGCATTGCTCCAATGAATATGACATACTGTTCCACAGGGTTCTGTATTAGGCCAGTTTCTTCTTTCTTGGTACATGCTTCCCTTATGTCACATTATTAAAAATCAGGAGTTAGTTATCACAGCTATGCCAATGAGCCAAATGATACAGGTGCTTTAAATAAACTAACAACTTGTTTGCACAGTATCAACTGGAAAAATATCAATTTTTAACAACTGGTAATGAAGCAAAGAGAACAATAGTTTTAAATCAGTTAGGAAGTTTGGCTCTACAATCGAAGGATGAAATTAAAAATCTTGAATTTAGAGACCACCTTAACTTTTAAATCTAACACTAAAGCTTTTCCAGTAAGATACTGCAGAAGGAACAGATATACTCTTGAGAGTCCTTATTTTTTTCTTTTCTTGGTTCTTTATTTTAGTTTTAGTTTTTTAAAAAATCCTTTAGTGTTAGGAAAAATTATTTTACCTACGGGAGTGTTTATTAAATAAGGAAGGGACACATGTGAGGAAGTAGTTTAATCACCATTTTTAAATAACATACAGATACAAGTGTCAGTAATGTGCACTGGTTTTGATAGCTTCGAGTAACAAAGCCTTTTTCTATACAACTTAAAGGAAAGCTTCACAGCTTCAGGAAGCTTCAATGTTGCCATCACTACCTGTAATTGACTCTCAGAGTAAATAGTTTAAATGGTGAAATGAAATGGTTTTATTATCATAAATAATTGGTGTAGGCTATAAATATTTTTTTTTCTTACACAGATTCAGGTTTCCCCAGCAAGCAAGCTTTAGCTGGAACTTCAATGGAAACACGATGCTGGCCCAATACTGTAAAACCATAGATACACATACCTAGATTTCGCGTTGGGTCCAGCCAGGCACGTCAACAGAGTTGCCATTTTGGGGCGGTCAGCATCGCTGCTGGACTGCATTACAGAGCAGCAATTTAAGAAAGATACAGTCCAAAATTATACAATTTTAAGAATATTGCACTCAGAAAATGTGATAGGATTATATAACTGAGGGAACACAGTGATACATGCTCATGTTTGTTTATGTGTAGATATAGCCGTGCAGTTGGTGAGGGACAAAGAACCTGTTGATGTGATTGTTTTTCCTCTGGTTTTATATTAAACTTATTTCATTTAATAGTCTATTTAGGGGATCTTAACTTTATGTAGTAGTTATTTAGTTACAATGATGTTAATGCATTGTAGCCACATAAGCTAGCTGCTACTGCTGTAGACTGTTTACCTCCGTCCGGAAATATCACATTAATCCACCACTGACCGAGATGATCTGATATTGATTTTCAGACTATAGCTAAACAATTTCATTAACGATGGCATGTTGAACATTTGCATTTCTTTTTTTGTTTAAAAAAGTTTTTTTTTATTTTCAAATAAATAGTTTCAGAAACAGTTGAGAAATTAGTAAACACAGACATTGCACCATACATACAAAAATACAGTTACATTTAATACACACACACACACACATTATGTATATACACGTATTATCTAAGCTGCAGGGGGTGCTGGAGCCTATCCCAGTGGTTATTGGGCAGAACGCAGAATTTTGCATACATGTAGCATGTGTTGTGTATCTGAGTCATTGATGATTGAATCTTTGCCATGTTATGTGAGTTGGCTTGTGGCTGGAAGAAACCAAAGATTGTTGCCATGGTGATGTTACAGCATTCTCCTGGGAGAATGTCGCAACATCACCATGGCAACAAACTTTGCCACGTCAACCAACTGCTGAAACATAGCAGTGTCCTAGAAATTCAAAGGTAAACATAAATATGACAATGAACACAGAAAAATTTTATCTGGAATGGAAAGATTGATATTTTGTTTGTATATATTCTGTTTCATACGCCAAACATCACAATCACATTTTAAAGCTTTGAATCTTCAGCGCCACTTTGACTGGCTACATGTTAATGCGGACTGCAAGTTTCCCCAAAGGAACCGAACTTTGTAAACACAAGACAAATATTTTTAAATGCCAGTCACACAATAGACTCAGTTGTCTCAAAAATTTACAAAACATTCATAAATGGTAATGCTTGCATCCTGTCAACTGGCTAGGAATATTACTTGTGCCGTACAATGAAGGGAAACCTGTGAAAAGTTGCCACACTGACACCATTGCAATCTTGTCTCCAGAAAAAGAACATTTGAAACGAATGGTATCAGACCTCATATACAGTCGAACACAGAATCTCACACATAAACAGTGCAACTGAGACACAGTTATACTCTGATCTTCAGAAATGCCAGTGTTTCAGCATTGCACTGGATGAGTCTTGTCACATACAAGACAAACCACAGTTGGCAATTTATGTAGTCAGTATCAGAAAACAGTACAATAAAAGAAGAGCTACCCGATATTATACCGTTGAAAAACAAGACTCGTGGCATTGATATGAAAGTATATGTGGCATCGATATGTTGTTTAAAAGGCAAATTTGCCATTATAAAAACTCACAGCCGAAGCCACAGATGGAACACTGTCTATGATGGCTTTGCCGGCTGTGTAAGTCTGCTGACCACTTTACAGAACTTTGGACATTTCATTGCATTGTTCATCAAGAGCAGCTGGTGTCTAAACAGCTAAACTTAAACCATGTCATGAAACCTGTGCTGGAAATCGTCAGTTTTATTCACACTCGTGCCCTTAATCACAGGCCATTCAAAAATCCCATTGCAGTGATATTTCGTTTTTTTAACTTTTCAACCAAGTAAAGTTGTTCCTGTAAGAAAAACACAAGAACTATCCTGATCTCTCTGACCCCCAGTGCATTTTAGATCTGGCTTTTCTGGTGGACATGTTGCACCACCTGGACAGACTCAACCTTAATCTCTAAGGGGAATTAAAGATGCTACTTGATCTAGTGTAAACAGTATTTGCTAACAAACTCAAGCTATTTAAGATTCATATTGAAAAGGGAGAGCTAACACATTCATCGTCTGTATCTGCCCAAGCAGTCCTAAAAGGGAGAACTTTGCACTATGCAGCACTTCTTGAAAATTTACAGCAGAGCTGTGAGGACAGAGTCCTTTCCTTTTTAACTTTTTTGTTGCTGATTCACATTGTTTGAACCCCCACGGGTGACAGATAAAGCTAAATGGAGATGACTGAACTTTCTGAAGGTGACAGACTCAGGTCTGATCTGAGTGAGGGAACCCTGGATTCATGGAGAATCTTGCCTATGGTGAAGTATCCCAATGTAAAACGAGCTGCACTAAAGCTCCTGTCAATGCTTGGCTCAACTATGTTTTGAATCCTTTTTTTTCACCCTGAAACATGTGAAATTGAAGCATTTATTCAAAGCAGTGAAAGAGAATACTACTGTATACAAGCCAGATTTGAAACAGATTGTGAAAAACAGAAGTCTCGCTAAACTCAGCTACATGACAGGTAGAAAAAGGGATTTGAAATCAAAGTTTGAAAACTCTAACTTCTCATGATAAACTGCAATTGCTGCAGTACTGATAGTTGTGTGCAGCATATTTGCATAAAAACATAGCTTTTGGCTTCTTGAAGTGATTTTTTTCTGGCTCTTTGTGTCTGACGGATTGGCCACCCCTGGACTAGCCTTCCAAAATTAAAAATCAAACTTACTTTTTTATAAAATTATAATTTGTTTTAATGTGTTGTAATCATGTATTTCTTTTTACATTCATTTTCAGCTCAACAAAATCTTGAATGACAAAGTAAGTGATTATTCAGCACTTTGAACTGAATCCTTTTTCAAATAGATTTTTCTTTAGTTTTATCAACAATTGAAATTTATAAGGCTCTTTATAAACTTAATTTATTTAATTATTCCTTGTAGAGTTAATGATACTGTGATTCAGGCACTTTCAGAATGTGTTTTTATGGAGAGGCATATCCAGGCACCGTGTGGATTTCTTCCTGATATACTCCAAATTAGAGGATTAGCTTCCACCACTCCTCAGACCCACTGTCCCAAACATCACTATGTCTGAACACAGCACTAGAGGATTTCTGGGTTGGGCCCTAGCCATCATTATCCTCTGCAGTATAGCCATCATTCTCATACCCACCTGGATTACACTCTGTGTAAGTAAAG